GAAAAGGATGGAGAAGAAAGGGATCCCGGGCCTTCCTCTCATTTGGCTGCTTTCACCACTCAGGCCTTGCTGAGGGCTCTGCGGAGAGGCGGGGCAGTCCTGCCACTAGGGACCTTCATGAAGCACCCACGTTCCTTACCACCTTCTCCAGCCCTCACAGGAAGGAAGCGGCAGGGTTTCTGCTGGTTGAGCTCCTCCTCCAGGCTTCCTGGATAGGAAGCAGTGGTGCTGCTCAGCACACAGCCCCTCAGGGCCTTCCCTCCTCCCCCAGGGCTGGGGTAGGCTGGGGGGGCCACCCCTGCTGATCCATCCCTTGGCTTCTGGGCCCAGCTCCCCTGACTGCACAGAGGGGATTGTGGAGCTGTGGGCTGGGGCCTCATGGAGGCATGTCCTTCTTCCCAGCCAAGGTACTGGGATCCTGACTGTCACCTGCCCCCAAATCCAGGCTGGGCCCTGTCTGCCCTGGGATGGGTCACAGGAGGCCTGAGAACCAGGTCCAGGCTGTGGTTTGGGTGAAGGACAAAGGGACGTCTCTTCTGCCCACTTTGCCTGTTCTGCTTCTTCTGTTTCTTCATCTCTCCTCCTTTTCAGCTCCCCCTGGGCCCAGCTCCCTGTCCAGCACTGAAGACCTGAAGTGGACCTTACTCAGCCCTGCACACAGCAGGAAAGTTCAGCCGCAGTCGCTGCACAGGGCTGGGGTGTGTGATCTCCAATTGCAGGGCTGACTTCCCATCCTCCATCTGCACCGCCTCACCTGCCCCTACCAGGGAATTGGCTTCAGGGGACTGGGAGCAATGTGGCTTCGTTTCTGGGCATCACGGCATCACCCAGACAGAGAGCTGGACCCGCCTTCTGGCTTCTCCTTCACCAGGGACAGTGGGTCAGACCAAGTCACAGGTCCAGGTGCCCGTGGTGGGGGCCAGATGAGGTGGCCTTGGGTTCCCGGTGACACCTTGCTCTCAGTCTCCTCTGTGTGAAGAAACAGAGGGCCCTGAGCAGGACCCCATGGGAAGCCTGAGCCTCCAAGGGAGCCACTCTGCTCCAGCCCTTGCCGTGGGCACAGGGTCACCCGAGGCCTCAGTGCTGACTTCACATTCTCGCTATTCCAGATGAGCCCCTTCTTGGTTGCAGTGAACTCTGCAGCCGTGGGCGGAGGGCTGGCAATGGCCCTGAGAATCTCTAATTTGGCTGAGGTTCTGCGCGGTAGGCAGAGTGCTGGCAGGACACAGAGGGTGCCCAGGCTACAGATTCGGGTTCAGGCCCAGCCGTGTGGCCTGTTCACCTCTGAGAGGGCCGCCCTGCCCGTGCCCGGCTCGGTCTCATCTGACACGCGGCCCTCCAGCTTCTCACTGCCCGCAGGGCGGGCCCTGGGAGTGCTCCTGGCAGGGCCCCTCTCTGTAGACCCTGCAGGACCAGCAGGCTGGGCGGTGGCTGGGAGGCAGGGGACAGGTTGGCCTCTGCAGTTTTGGGTGCACAGAGCTCCTCCCGCCCTGGCCCTGTGGCCCCCTCCTGCTGGCCCAGCTGTGCCTTGTGAGGGCCACGGTGATGGCCCATCCTTCTCACCAGCCCCCAGGAACGACACCGCTCTCCCAGCTCCCTTCCTCCCCAGCCCGTCACCACCGGCAGCTGCGGTGGCGTGGGTTGGGGGAGTCTCTCCCTACATCACAGAAGAGGAGACTGGAGCTGGAGAGGTGGGGGATGGGGGCTTCCTCCCGGGGCGGACCCTCAGGTGGGACCCCCAGGCGCAGGGAGGG